GTTGGGAAGTATAACACAGATTGTTCAAAAATTTGGTTTGGTGAGCTTGGATCAGAAAAAGAGCTCGCCAAGATTGCATTATGTCACTTATGAAGGAATTTTGTCAGAATGAAAGCAGGAAGCCAGTAAAATTTTCTCCATGTTTAAAGGCAGAACATTCCAAATTAGAAAACAAACTAGTTGATTTTTAAAAATAAAAAAGTCTGGAGGGCAATGTCAAGATAGTTCTTTAAGAGTGTTTATTGATTGAAAAATTCCTGCTGAAAACTTATTTGTTTTGCTAAATGCTGTCAGGGAGGAATCATCATGATGGTGATAACAATCAAAGTAAAGAAATTGTTTGGTTTCTAGCCCTGTTCTGCCTCTTGAATTCATCAGAAATTAGAGAGAAAGAACAAGTATACCAGTTAACTTCAGATTCTTATCACCATCCCAACCTCATTGCACTCCTAGAAGTGCCTGAGGCCCTAAGCAAGAAGTAGGGAAAGGATGGGAAGGAAGAGGGAGTTCAGGTAGTATAGTCCTTTCCCTATTTGAGGCAAGGACTTTCAGAACGAGTGAATTGGGTCTCCCAGCCCTCAGCCCCTGCCCCCAGCCTACAGCAGCCCAGCCCAAACTTTCCAGAAGACCTAAATCAGTGGATCACTTGATTGAGAAGCTTCCAGTCTCCACCCTTCCCCTCCCTTTGGGATTTCCCTCTTTTTTTTTGAACTCAGGTCCTCCTGACCTATCAACTGCACCACCTAGCTGCCCCATATTTCCTTTTTTTTTTTTTTTTTTTTTGTTTAGGCAATTGGGGTTAAGTGACCTACCCAGGGTCACACAGCTACTAAGTGTCTGAGGTCAGATTTGAACTCAGGTCCTCCAGGACTGGTGCTCTATCCACTGCGCCACCTAGCTGCCCCCTTCTTCTTTTTTTTTTTTGAACCCTGGTTCCGTCTGTTGGTCAGATTCTAAAATATAGCTGAGTTTAGACAAACAGAGAGACATTCCCCACCTCCTTCAAGAATCTATCTTCTAGGGAGGGCAAATTAGGGGAAGGGGTATTCAGAATGCATGCCCTCTTGGGGTGGGGGGAGGGAGGAAATGGGGAAAAAATTTAGAACTTAAAATCTTGTGGAAGTGAATGTTGAAAACTAAAAATAAATAAATTTAAAGTGAAAAAAAAAGAATGTATCTTCTAGAGCTTGGGCAGGGCAGGGAGTGGAGATATTCCCAGAAATCATGAGGATTATGAGAAACCTGTGATACACAACCCCTGATATATTTCTTTCAGTATAATTTCTTAATATGTCATAGATATAAATTATGTGCACACTTGGGGAGGGAAGATCCTATGTGATGCTTGAAGTGCTGTGGTAGTAATTTTAGTCTAAGCCACCTTGTGTGCTCCTTTCAGAAAGCCTACTGTAAGACAATGTATCATTTTATTAATTAACCAACAGGGGAGTGTTAGAAGTGTTATCCCCCAACCTCAAATAGGGGCAGCTAGGTGGCTTGGAGTTAAGAAGACTCATCTTCCTGAGTTCAAATCTGGCCTCAGACTAGCTGTGTGACCCTGGGCAAGTCATGTAACCCTGTTTGCCTCAGTTTCTCATCTGTAAAATGGGCTGGAGAAAGAAATGTCAAACCACTCCAGGATGATGAAGAGTTGGACGTGACTGAACTGATTCAATCACAATGACCTCAAATAATATAACTAACACGTGCTTTATGCCCTGACATTTCTATCAAGTGAGAATACTTCTTTGATTGAATTAATCAGTCAAATGTGTAAACTAGTTATGAAGATTCCTAGACACCTTTTTTGAATCAGTTGTCCAGTCAAAGGCACAAACTTAAGTGCAAACAAACTAGTTAATTGAATTGAGAAAGAGTGAAGTGTTTTGAGCCTGAATAGAATCAGATGATGAAATGAATTAGGAATGGTTGAAAAAATTAGATTCACTTTCTTGCCTGTGTATATCAGAGAAGAAGATTCCAGCAAAGATTTGCTGTGGAGTTAAGCTCCAGCTGAGAGTTAATCCTTGGAGGAGGCTGACCTTGTACATGTAACCAAAAGAGGAGCTGGAGGAGGAGCCCAGACAGAGTGGGATACTCTCCCCCTCCCCCACCTGAATACCCTTGAGACTGTCATCCGAGAGCCTGGACCACTAACAGTGTTTCCAGCCAGGAGCTGAGATAAAACGAGCAAGACACACTGAGGAAGGGCAGTCTCAAGGAGTGTGACCTCTTTAAGGTACCTACAGCTTCAGGAATCTACAAGAGCCCAGGTCAGGCCCTGGAAGGAATACAAGAACGTCTATCCAAACAGGATCCACTCTGCTACAATAAATAGCTCATTTTAACCCAAGGAGCAGTATGATCCTTAAGGTCTGTGTGGCTTTTGTCCTCTTCCACTTTAGGGAGTTTATTTTAGACAAGAAGTTGTGAGTTCAATTTCAATCTCTCAGAGTCCCCAGTTAGGAAAATTCCTAGCATTTAGGTAGTGTGTGGGCTTTCTGCCTAACTCTGAATTGTTATTTATTTCCAGGTAATCTCTAGCCTCTTTCTGTGCATGTGGATTTTTTTGTTTATTTTAATTTTAATTTTTTAATTAAATTTTTTTATTCTTTTATTCATGTCTTTGTGGTTTAGGCAAAATTTAGTTTACTAGAAATGTTTCATTATAAAACAAGAGATTATATCATAGCACCTATAGATAAGAACATGGAAGGAAAGACCCTTCCTTGAAGCTCTTCGGCTTCAAGATGCCTGTAATCCTCAGTTTCCCTTTTCTGTCTTATAGGCATGCTAAAATGCTCTCACCTGATCACCACTGCTGGAACTTCTTGATTCCAGCTAACTGGATGATTTTATATAGAATTTAGAAAAATTTAGACAAAATCCTTAGCCAATTGGAACAGACTTCCAGTCTAGCATCATTGCACTTTATAAAATGGCTTTCAAAGACTTTTCACACTTAGTTTAAGGCCTATTAGTGAGGTTGATTAAGCATTTTATCACTTTTTTTAGGTAAATGGGATTGAGTAAATCAATCACCTCATCATTACACTAATCTGATTAGCAGGGGCACTGTACCTGGAGCCGCCAACCTAATTATTTTGCAGTCTCTCTGATGCATATGCAAGATGTCCTCTCTAATGGTTGTGTAGGAGTCTCCCTTCCCCAACCTTCCAGGTGCATAACTTCTTCTGATTGGGCAAAAATTCTAGCTGAGCAGGTTCTGGATTTTAGCCTAGGGGTTGATATAAAATATTACTCAAAACTACAGAAATGAGAAAATCTCTTTGGTTTCTTCCCCCACCCTGCATATTAGAAATCTTCTACTTTAGTCTATATGTTTATTACATAGTACATCAGCTTGCTGTAGCTGTACAGTTTAACATATCAAAAACATAAGGAAAAAAATTCAGCATACCGATGTGAACATTCATCATGACCATATCATTGGACCTCCTTCCATACTCATTGATCACGGAAACGGAAAGCAGATTGTGGGGTGGTGCTTCTGACCAGGACTCAACACTGAGTCTTAGACTTAAAGAGGAAAAGCAAGAGAGAAAAATGAAGGAGTTCTAGGAGATAGATGGGTCTCCTGGCCTCTCTGGCTGCTTAGATATTCAGAAATTGCTCTCTGGGCTTGTAATGCCTCACATGCTAGTGACCACTTTGACTGTTGGTCTGGTTTCTGGCCAAGGTCTCACCTCTGCATTTCTTTGGTCTCACTGCCATCCCTAGGGCCTCAACCTCCACAACACTGATCTTCTCTTCACGGTCAGTTTCAATTCTCCCCTCTCCACTTTCACTCTAGGTCATAACATCAGCTAATAGCAACTATTGCCAAGAGGGTCCCCCTCGCAGTTGTCCATCTCTCTGTTCCTTATTTCTGAAAAGAATGACTGCTAAGTCTTTTAAGCGCAAAGGAAGGAAGGGGAGAGCCTGTTCTCCTATTGGGTGGCTTTGTGCTGTTCTGAGCATATGTTCAGTGTAGTACTGATTTTTCCTGATGAAGGAGAGGAGGAAAGTATGATGATTGTCATCAGCACTCCATTATTCTTCTTTCTGTGTCTCATATACCATTACCCTGTGCACTGGGGCAGAATAATAATTTGAAGGAGATAAGAGGGCATAGCATAAACTGATCACATTAATGGGGATCTGTGTTTTCTTTCATGATAAAAAAAAAATGAAAAAAAGGTTGATAAAATTTTATTCTGTTTATTGAAAATTTTAATAAATACATACACATTTCAGGACTGGACTCCTCCTCCCCCCCAAATACACATATGCCATATAGATCAGCAGCATGGAATGTATGCAGAACTTGGTTTTGAGAGAGATTTAGGTAAATCCAACATCAGAAAGGCGTCTCTAAGATAAGAGCAATATCCTAAGACCCTACCCCATGCAGGTCAGGCTAGTTTTTACTTCAAAGTCAAGCCATCCTTGAGATTTAATTGCATCAGGGGACTAAGGTCTTGGACCACAGATGTCACTTCTGGTGGGTTACAGGCATAAGTCACCTTAGGCATCTAACCAGCAGAACAGCTTGACCAACACTGGTAACAGGGAATCTGGGCTCAATTGAAACAATACTGTCTCCTCCCTGAATATCCTTTCCCTGCTCTGATTATCTTTCTATTGCTGTGACTAAGTCAATATCCTTTTGTAACTGTCAGGTGTTCTTCCAGTGTCTCATTTTTTTCTGATCTTGAAACTGAGGTAGTAGGCTAGCATGAGTCAGGCCTGCTATATAACTTCTTGTCCCAAGGGAGACCCTCAACAACTGAGAAAATGATACATGGAGAAAGAAGTCTGAGGAGAAGATTCTGAGATCCTGGTGTGAGAAAAGGATTACCCTTCCCCATTCTGGGATCACAATGATCTTTTTTGCCACAGGATCAGAAATTGGATAGGATAAGAAGAATCTTACTTGTACTTTCTGTTCTTTATTTTTCTTTTGTTTATTTTCTCAACCTCTCTCATCCTCTGATAAGGAATTCCAAAGGGGAGATAGCCATTATCAAGAATCAAGTAAACAATCTGAGCAGCAGGCCCCACCCAGTACACGGGAACATCCCGAACTGACCCCGGCAGCAGGAGCAGATACTTTATTACCAGAGTCTGATGAGAACTGTGGACAACTTCAACTCTTGCTCTTGACCAAATGGTTATCAACAGGAAAACCTCAACTCCTTTGAATTCCTTCAGTCCATGAGTCTGGACCAGAGGAATAAAAGACACGGGAATTTTAATTCTGTTATTAAAAACTCTGTGATACTAATGCATTGTTGGTAGAGTTGTGAAATGATCCAACCATTCTAGAGAGTAATTTGGAACTATGCCTAAAGGGCCATAAAACTGTGCATACCCTTTGACCCAGCAATACCACTTCTAGGTCTGTATGCCAAGGAGATAATAAAAATGGGAAAAGGACCCACATGTACAAAAATATTTATAGCAGCTCTTTTTGTCGTGGCCAAGAATTGGCAATTGAGGGGATGCTCGTCAATTGGGGAATGGCTGAAGAAGTTGTGATATATGAATGTAATGGAAAACTGTTGTTCCATAAGAAATGATGAGCAGACAGACTTCAGAAAAACTTGGAAGGACTTATATGAACTGATGCTGAGTGAAGTGAGCAGAACCAGGAAAACATTGTACACAGTAATAGCCACATTGTGCGATGACTAACTTTGATAGACTTAGTTCTTCTCAGCAATGCCAAGGATCTAAGACAATACCAAAAGACTCATGATTGAAAATGCTATCTACATCCAGAGAAAGAACTATGGAGTCTAAATGAAGATCATAATATGCTATTTTCCTTTTTTTTTTTTTAGTTTTTTTCTTCTTGAGGTTTTTCTCTTTGGTGCTAATTCTTCTTTACAACATAACTAATATGGAAATATGTTTAATATGATTGTACATGTATGGCCTATATCAGATTGCATGCTATCTTGGGGAGGGGGAAGGAAAAGGAGGGGGAGAAAATTTAAAACTCAAACTCTTGTAAAAGTGAATGTTAAAAACTAAAAATAAATAAATAGATATTTTATTTTAAAAAGACTATGTAATAACATACCAAATGTCTGAATGTACAGGTGCACTTTGTCTGGAGCAAAATCTAAAGGATTTGGAGTGAATAATGTTCCTTTGAAGTGGTAGTGATAGGGATAGCTAGGTAGCACAGTGGATAGAGCACTGGCCCTGGACTCAGGAGGACCTGAATTCAAATCCAGCCTCTGACACTTGATACTTACTAACTGTGTGACCCTGGGCAAGTCACTTAACCCCATTGCCTAGCCAAAAAACAAAACAAACAAAAAAACAAGTGCACCTGAAACAGGATTAAAATGTAACTGAAGTGGTAGTGATGGGGTGTGGGCCCAAGCCAAGACCTTCACTCCTTACACCAAAAGAATTTGGGTCTCATTTATTTGAAGGGGGAATGATGGGTATGGGGATCCCCTTCCTCTTGAACTCTCCTGGAGTTTTCTCCTTTTCCTACCTAGTCAAGTCTCTGGCATTTGCCTGAGGTATCAACCCATCCCAGTAATCTTCTCAACTGGCTTTTTATTGTAGCTATGCCCAATCTCCCAATTCTGTTCTGTTAACTTCCCATCGCCCTGGCCATTCCCCATCTTTAATTCCATCTAGATTCCTTCTGAGTTCCCTGAGGTTCACCCCCCCCCAGGTCTTTCTCAGTTACCCCCCCAGTCACCTAAGCCTACTGGCCACTTCTAGATCCTTCCCACAGTCTTTCTGTATATGAGATCCATCTTGTCTTCATTAAGGTGCTCAGATTCTTAAAATCTAGTCAGTAATGCAGACTCACTAGGAATCTTGCTCACCCCAATCAGTGTTCTAATAAATCTTGTCTTTGACTGAAAGAAGGCTTGGGTCGAATTCATTCCAGCAGGATTATTTGAATTCACACTATTTGAAGTCATAGTTCCTGTAGGATAGGGCGATGATGAGATTGGGAGAATATTCTCCACAATTTTGGGCAGCACTCCACCCAAATAGGAGAGTTTACTTCTGATTAAAGTGTGCATAGAATCTAATCTAGGGGAATTCCAGCCCTGAAAAACTAAAAAAAAGCTTTAGGCACAAGCCCTTGAAACTCCCCCCTTCCCCCAATTGTTCAATTTCAGTGGTTGGGGCGGAGATGGATTCTTTTATACAGATAGCTGGAGGTGACTGAGTCTCATGATCAATTCATGGTTCTCAGCAGGAGGAGCTGAAGACTTTTGGCCCACCTTCTTAATATGTCTACTCCCTCACTAATTGTTCACCAATCAGGATTGATCTACTTTCAAGGACACCTCTTTTTCCAAAGATATTTAAGCATTCGAAGAGCTTTGGTTACAGAGACCACTGACCATCAATTTATTGATTGATAAATTGATTATTAATTACCCAGAAAAAAGAAGTTATAGTTCATATGTAAAATGTGGAAATAGGTTATAGTTCAATGGGAATATACAATGAGAAATTTTAAACATAAGTTTTTTGTATCTGTTCATTAATGTAATATAGCAAAGGATAAGAAAAATTTTAATTCTGATTTGTCTGTTATGAAGTAATATATATAGCTATAGAAACCAAAATTTTAAATTTTAAAAATTACTGAATATTATACCTTAAGATAGACCTAAGGTGATGATATGACAAAAACATTATTATTATCATTATTATTATTTAGGATATTTTAGTTTAGATTGAACTTTCTACTTTTTCTTTAAATCTTCATATATACAGGCATTGTTAGGTACGCAGAACTTTATCCACATCTAGACAAATTTTCATTCTCACATTCTCATGGAATGAATCAGGTATAATTGGATGACCTGGCACATCTAAAATCAGTAATGCTTTAAATCCAACATTATTATCTTTCCGATATTTTTCCATAAGTAGGTTAAAATAACTTGAAAATCAGGTTTTTTGCGGGGGGAACTCCAAAACTTTAATTCCCCCATGCTTTCTTATTTGACTACCAAAAACTAGAAGCAATCAGTGGTTGTAGTTTCTCAGGGTTCAAGGATTTCTAGACCAACAAACAAACATTGGTTTTCATTTAAAATCCCTTTACTTCCTAATAAAAGTGTTAGTGGATCCCTTTAAATCTAGATTAGTTTTTTCTTTCTTAGAAATGTAAGTTTAACACTCAATTGGATATGGAAATCTGTCTTACCCTACAGGAAAATGGGGGGGGGGGACAAGAGAGTAGGGGGTTGATAGAGAGGAGGGCAGATTCAGGGAGGGGGTAATCAGAAGCAAATACTTCTGAGGAGGGACAGGGTTCAAAAGAAAGAATAGAATAAATGGGATAGGATTAAGGGAAATAGAGTTAGTTTTTCACAACGTGTCTACTATGGAAGTGTTTTACGTAGCTACACATGTATAACCTATATTGAGTTACTTGCCATTTCAAAGAGGGTGGGTGGGGAGGGAGGAAGGGAGAAAATTTGGAACCCAAAGTTTTAAAAACACATGTTTAGAAAAAAGGGAAATAAGAAATACAGGAAATGGGGTACAGAAATCTATCCTGTCCTACAGGAAAATAGAAGGGGAAGGGGATAAGAGAGGGGGGAAGAGATAGAAGAGAAGGCAGATTAGGGGAAGGGGTATTCAGAATGTATGCCATCTTGGGGTGGGGAGAGGGGTGAGGTGGGGAAAATTTGGAACTCAAAATCTTGTGGAAGTAAATGTTGAAAACTAAAAATAAATTTATTAATAAAAATAAAAAATAAAAAAAAAGAAATATAAGTTTAGAAAATCATCCATCCTTTTCCAGAATAAACCAGTTTCATCCACATTAAAAATTTGTTCATCAGTGTACCCACTTTCAATTATTATCTTCAAAAGATCAGGATACTTATTTGCTGTATCTTCATCTCTTTGGCCATCTCATTGGAAATTTCAACATTATGCAATTGAACACAATTTTTAAAGTGATTGAACCAACCAACATTTCCACTAAGTTTCTTCACTGTCCACTTCATTTTGATTTTCTTTCACTGCCTTAAGTAAACTTGAATCTTGTCTCTGAATGGTTGTTCTGCTAAGAGGAATGAACTTTTGATTACAATCTTCAGTCTATATAGTTAATTTTGTCGTTCAGTCATTTTCAGTCATGTCCAACTCTTTGTGACTCTATTTGGGGTTTTCTTGGCAAAGATACTGGAGTGGTTTGTCCCAATTTTCTTCTCCAGCTTATCGAATGAAGAACTGAGGCAAACAGGGTTAAGTAACTTGCCCAAGGTCACACAGTTACTAAATGTCTGAGGCCAGATTTTGAATTCAAGTCTTCCCGATTTCAGGGTTGTTACTCCATCCACTGTGCCATCTAGCTGCCCCCATGTAGCTAAAGGAGGCTTTATATCTTATCATTATAATATTTCTATTCCTTGTAGTTGTTAGTAAGCCACAAAAAGCTGGTACAACTTTGTCTTTTTCTTTTATTTCTCCTGCATATTTTATAATATTACATGACATCTCATCCTATTTTAAGATTATTATGACCACATTCATGCCATTCAATTACATCGGGTTTTTTCTTCGTGTAGTATGCCACCTATCCCAACACCCCCATGAGCCCTGCCCCTCTAGAAATTACTTCGTATTTATTTTGCATATGTGAGAGTTTAAATTTGGTCTCTGGGGCCCCGAGTGGCTCACATTGCAGAGATATATTTAGGTTAAGTAACATCTGGAATCTGTTAAGCTCCATAGATTGTGATTTCCCTCTTTGTGAAGAGTATGTTATCCGTCTGTCTCCAACTGTGTGTTTCCCTCAATAAGTAAGTAAACTCCCTGAGGGCAAGGCAAGTTTAGGGTGTGTGTGTGTGTGTGTGTGTGTGTGTGTGTGTGTGTGTGTGTTTAATCTCCATCACCCAGTATAGCACTGACCCATGCTTATTGAAGAAATGCATAACAACCATTCAGAGTGGCCCCTGGAAAATCCAAATTCCTAAGACAGAATGACCCCATCTAGTCCAGTCCAGTCCCAAGCAGCGTGATAGACTGTCAGTTAGAAGGAACTGGCCTCTAACCTGTGTGGGTGGCAGGAGCTGAACAGAGCAGGCTAGAGACTGGAGAGTTAGGAATCAAACAGAAATTTAATTTCAAAATGAGGGAAATAGCTTACAAGCAAGGACACATGCCAGAGCTCTGCCCCTAGTGGGGGAATCTGTGTTAGTGCAGGCAGATCTCTACACCTATGGCTACGCAGTGAGTTGTAGCCCAGATAATGAGGGCTAACAGCAACAAAGTGACAAGAACAGAGATCATAGTCAAATAATGGCGGTCCCAGTCCCATAGACCAGATGCAAAGAGGTGTA